GTGTAAGAAATAATTTAAAAAGTCATATTTTTTTTAAAAAATAGAAAATATTTTTCTGATCATTGAGGCATGCCACATAGGCGGAATGAAGATCCTCATTTATATATATATATTGATTTTTAAATTACAAATTTATTTTTGATTTTATAAGGAAGAGCAACTTTTATATTTAGCAAACATAAAAATTAATTTTTTATGTTATAGTTATAGTTTGCATAATTGCATTGAGCATCAAATTGTATGAATCGTTGGGGGCATTATATTTGTATAGAATCGCTGACAACCTTTTATTTGTATAAATCATTCGTAGCCTCTGGTTTGTATAAATCGTTGATAACCTATCAATTCAATTTTAGGTATTTGTATATCTGTATAAAATTTGAATTTGTACACAATTAAATCGAAATAAAATGTTTGTATATCAAATCTCTCTCGCTTTATACAAACACAAATTATATATTTTGTATAATCTGTGTTTGTATAAAAAACGAGAAAAAGACGAAAGTGAACTGTACAATTATAAGTGTATAGTACAAAGATATATGTATCTGCATGTGTATATACATTAGAGTCGAGGGATAAATTGACAAACAAGAATTTCTGAATAATAGCAGTTTGCTACGAGATACAATTGAATCAAATTATGATTAAATTATTTAATTTATTTGTTACCCGATTTGGCCCATTTCAGTTGAGTTTCGTTTGGAGTACTTGAGTTACATGACTCGCTCCAATTGCCGTCATCATACACACACGTGTCAACTATCTATTGGATTAACACGTACACTAAACACTCACCTCGACTCAGAGGATCTAAAAGCACTTAACAAAATCCCACAAGAACACAGTGCTTTCTCTCTCTTCTCTTATTCTGTGTTTGGTTTACACAGCCAAAAAAAATGGATGATTTGATGGAAACAGATGAAGAATTAATGGATTTCACCTTAGCTGAAGTAAATTTCAATTCAATTTTTCGATTAAAGTATTGCATGTCTTTTGGATTAAATTAAATTACTAAATGTGGATTAATTTTCTGAGGATTTTCAGTTTTGTGTCAACAGGCTATGGAAATGACCACTTTCTTTAAAGGATTGAAAGGAAAATCAATCAGTCAAGAGTTGTGTCAAGAATTTGCTAACAAGTTTAGGTAACAAAAAAATTAGATTAAATTGTCTTTTATTTCTTATATATATATATATATAGCTAATTGTTAATTCTTGCAGTTCTTCACCATTTCGTACTGGGAAATCTATAATAAAAGGGGAACAGGTTTATCTCTGAACTTTATCAATATTCTCTGTTTTCATCGCCCGTTTGAATTTGTTTGTCTCGTTTTGACTTCACATTAAGTATACAAAGTAAAAGATATTTTTTGGATCGTGTGTAGCATGTGAAAAGTTGAAATTAAAGAATTGTTAAAATAGAAAGAGACATTCTTTTTTAGACAGACTAATTGAAATGGAGGGACTATATGAATCTTCTTGTGAATTTTCATTATGTTTTTGTCATGTCAAAGGTGAAAAGTTGGTTTCTTGATAAGCAAAAACCAAAAGCAGCTGAAGTCCCTGATGATGATTATGTAGAACATGTTGATGATTACGAAGAACCTATTGTTCCTAAACGACGAGGAAGAAAACCAAAATCTAAAAACACAAGTTCATCTCTGGTGGTCTACAAAAAATACGATGCTTGTGGTTACACAAGACTCCCAGAATGTGCATATGACTTGCCTCAGAGGCCCAGAGGTTACTAATTTCTCACTGGCCTCTATTTGTCTAATGATTTGAGACTGCATTTTTGAGCTATGGTTATTCATGGTTACATGTTTGATTTCGTCCTAGTTTATTCGTATAGATGTATGAATCACATGAAAATTCTTTTGAGCTGCGGAAATATAGATGACTATGAAAAAAGAAGGATTAGATATAAAGAAAGTTCTTCATGTAACTAGCACACATGAGCCAC